ATTAATCCCAAAGTACCATGCAGGTTTGTAATTCCATGCATAGATCTTTGGGGTCTTTTTAATGCAATAGTTAAAATGGAATTCTTGAAACTTTGAATGTTAAGGGTATATTGTGGTTGCATAATAAATGCGAGTGGACTGGATAAGTGTTTAGATTTCTGTCAGTCACTGGAACTAGCTCAAAAGGCTCCTGTGTTCTGAACTCCATACTAGTTTGTTAGGTGACGTAAGTAGTATGCAAAGGCAAGGTGCGTTTATTCTTCAAAAATTTATCAAAACGTTGGGGTCACAATTTCACATGCATGCCCAAGACATGAATGTAGGCTCAATTTAAAGACAGGGGATTTCCCTGGTCTGCTTAGATAATCTTTTCATTAATTGGTTGGTGCTGATCTAGGGTTTGGGGGTGTGGGGAGGGCAGACTTCATGGCGTGTCCAGGTAACAAGGTGTGCCCAGGTAACAAAGAGTGCTAACAAACAGTGCGAAGGTACAATATCATTTGGACTAGCTACACAAAGCATTTCTAAATAACCTTAAATTGGATTGGTCAAGTGCTTGGGGACTTTTCAAGGCAGTTACTAGATTATTGTTTCTGATTTTCAGGGAGGTTATTGAGTTATTGTATCTTGTTTCCATGAACTGTACTTTTGTTTTCTGAGAAACAGAAACTCAGGCCTATTCAGTCTGAAGCCAATTTTGAAGCCTGTCATGGAGTCAGTCTGGCTTATTGAAAATTATTCCCCTCAGTTCATTCACTTTAATCTTCACTTACTTAAATGACTAGACTCCTGACCATTGTGTTTCAGGCTCACTTGCTGTCAGTCTGCTCAGGGCATTTCAGGCTAAGGTCTTTGGTGACTTGTCTCAGCATTGGCTGACCTGACCACTAGGGTCAACCTGATCAGGCTTAACTATGCTCTAAAATGTGCCAACTGAGAAGATATATTTCCAATTTTCTTATCTCTCCTAAAATGATTGTAATTGGAAATACCAATGAATTCATTTTGTTAAACAAAGCTGCCTGAATAATGATAATATTATAAATATAGGTAGTCATTAAATCCTTTGAGTTAGGAACTCTTCAAACATTATAATGGCAGTCAATGTCTTGGGTGCGTGTGTGAAAAGCCATCAAGAAAGTGAAGAGCAAGGAACAGGAGAGATGGCTCAGTGGTTAGGAGCACTGCTGCTCTTCCAGAGGACCTGACCTGGGTTTGCCTCCCAGCACCCACATGACCGCTCCCAGCTGCCTGTAACCCCGGTTCCTGGCGATTCAATGCCCTCTTCTGTCCTGCCCAGGCACCAGTCATACACATGGTGCAGAGACATGTATAGCGGCAAAACACCCATGCACACAAAATAATAAAATACATTTTAGGAAAGGAAGTGAGGTTCAAGGGGCTGGAGAGCAGTGGGTTTAGCAGTTAAGAGTACTTGCTGCTTTTGAAAAGGACCGGGGTTTGGTCCCCAGGACCAACATGGGTGGCTTATAATTCTAGTTCCAGAGGCCTCAACATCCTCTGTGGGCTCCTGAATACACATGCTGCACACAAGGACAAACAGGCACTCACTTGTGTACATAAATGCAAATAAATACTTAGAAAAAGAAAGTGAAGTGCCAAGCTAGAAATCTTTTGTTTTGTTTTATTACAAGTTAATATTAAATCCTATCAAAGCAGCTGTTTGAACAGGTGAAAAGCAAATATAAAATCCAACTTAAGTGAAGAGTCAGCTGACACCTGTGGTCCCTGCACCAGAAGGCTGAGAGCCGGAGGACTGCAGCATGTCTGAGGTCAACTGAGCCAGGTAGTGAGTTCCAGGCCAGCATGGGCTGTGGAGCTCCCATTTCAAAATAAAAACAAAACCAAAAGAACACTAGCTTCACTCAGCTGGTATGATATGGGGCTTGGTAGATTACAAAGGAGGTTTTTAAAACCTTAATTGTTTTACCAGTAAGTTTTTAAGATGGTGTTGAGCATAGTAGCACATATATGTGATCCTGTCATTGCAAAGGCGGAGACAGAGTGATCTCAAGTTCTAGGCCAACACCAATAACCATTTAAAGTTTGTAACCAAAACAAACTCCAATTTAAGTTTAACATTCCTCAGTCTGTACTCCTCTAAGAGTTGGTCTAGCACTGTGCTGCTGCTGTGCAGGTGCTCCTGGCCCTGGCCCTACTGAGAAGCAGATTCCTGCTTTGTTACTTTTAGTCTGTTTAAGCTGGAGTCTCTTTCTCCACTTCCCCAGAGTATGTTCCTCCACTTCTACACAGTATGTTCCAAGCCAGAGCTACATAGTGAGACCCTGTCTCGAAACAAAGCAAAACTAAAGACACAATAAAACAAAACGGAATCCAAACAACCAAAACAAAACAAAAACAACACCACCAGGACCAAAAGGAAGAAATGTGTTTAATTGGCTTATACTTTCTAATCACAGTCAATCATGAAAGGAAATCAAGGCAGAAATAAAAACAGGAACTTGGAGGCAGGAACTGAAGCAGAGGCTGCGGAGTAACACTATTTGCTACTGGTTCCCCACCGCTAGCTGAGCTGGCTGTCTAATCAGCTTCAGCAACATCTGCACGGGGACAGTACCACCAGCTGTGGGCTGGGCCCGTCCACATCAATCAAGGAAACGCCCTACAGGCTTAACAATGCTGTTTTCTCAAGTGAAGATCCTCTTCCCAGATAACTTTAGCTTTGTGGAGAGTTGATAAAACAAACAAACAAACAACAAAAACTAACCAGGACAGAAGGTTTTATTGAATTCCAAGTGCCAGTGAAACAAACAGCTATAAAAACATATTAGTAAGAAGTCAGGAAAACAGAGCTATTCAAGGAATGTTCATTAAAGGAAAAGAACCAGTGAGATGTGTGGCTATTCCTCATATGCTGTATTCAGGAAAAGCACTTTGGAAAGTCTCAACTCAAAGACAGAATTCATTCAAAAACATGTACATGTTTCACAATAGAACTCATTATGCATTCTAGGCAACCATGCTGCCACTGGCCCAAGTACACCTCTAGCCCCTATAATAATGATGATGATGACTAACTTACCAACCAACAACCAACCAACTAAACAAACAAGCAAACAAGAAAACAAACACCACAGCCAACCTCACATTCCTAGAGCAATACAAAGTTAAAACCTAAGGACCTGAGAAAATTTATTCAAACCCTTTAGAAGGCACAGCACACAAGTTAACCGACTGAGAAACTATTTTTAAAACCACTTTGGTACACGGACAGTAATTATTGAAATAATTATGGGAACTACACTTGATGTGAAAGCAAAGAGAGTGTTAATTAGAACACTTTTTTTTCCTTGGTGTCAGCTTTTGATTCTGAAAGGAAAAGGCTAATTTTTAATTTGTTCCTTCACCACTTTAACCTCTGTTTGTAAGTCAAGCAAGAGTTTTATGAATAAAGCAAATAACAAAACAAAAAATAAACTCTGATACCCTCATAAAGAAGTTGTTCTGAGAGGTAGGCAGATCTCTGTGAGTTTGAGACCAGCCTGGTCTACAAGAAGTGTTCCAGGATAGCCAGGGCTATACAAAGAAACTCTGTCTTGAAAAACAAAAAACAAACTGTTCTGGAATAAACGTTTGCCCATCACTTCTTTCCTAAACAGAACCTACCAAACATGCTTCACTCTTTATTGAGGACATTCATCTCCACGTAGTAACTATGAAGGTTCTACAATAAATTGGCATTGAGAATGTGGTGTATAAAACATTGAGAAGAAGCATTTCACACCTGCTTTCAATTTCCCTTATTATTCAATTACTTATCCCATTAAGCTTGAATAAAATGACTTGTTAGAATGGCATGCTCTGTAAAATGACGCAAAGCAAATATCTGAGAAGTCCGCCTGTAAGCCAAGTGTCTGAGTTTTGCCACGCTTCTCCAGGAGGCATGTTTTATCTAGAGCCATTTATTTCACGCAGGCCCAACACTGGAATGCTTCAACACTGCTCTAGCTAAAATCCTTCAAGAGCACCCTCTAGCACCGCTTTCTCTTAATTCGAAACGCAAGAGTAACAGGACATTTAATGAGCGATGAACTTCTGATAGCTCCTACTTTCCGTTCAGATCGAATCCGGCACTCAGGTGGTCACTAAGTGGAAAGAGGCTGATGACATATAAATATAACTCCCAGGTGCAAGCTGAGAAACATGACCAAACCAAAGTTTTTAAGCCTATTTTTAACTCGAAGGTGAAGAAATGTAACATTCAGCTTCATGTTTGGCCAAAGAGACCTGCCAAACAGTAATGAAGACCTTTTGACAGATGCAGGGTGTGTGGGATGTGTGTGTGCAAGAGGGAATTCAAATCTAAAGCGCAAACCCCAGCTTGCCACAGTCCACCTCACTTTACGGCTGACCTCTCTCCGTGACCAGTCATGGTGGAGGCGACAGAGTCCAAAGGGATACAGCATTATCTTTGCCCTCTGACTTAGTAGCGGAAACTCACCAGTTTCATATCGGACTCTTGGTGGTTCAATACCAGTCTCTTCACTTCTCAAGGCAAGGAAGGGTCTTCCGGTTCAAGCTCCATAGCCGAGAGCATCGCGGGACTTGGAGTCTTCCTTTCCACGCATTTTTTGGAGCATCACGGGAAATGTATTTTTATTACAGGCATCATGGGACCTGTGGGCGTCTTTCCTTTTCCTCCCCTTTCTCTCTAAACCGCCTCCTTCCGTCCGCTCAAATTCATCTCCGCCGCCAATTCATCCTTCCTTTCCATCCCAGCATGATATCATGTCCCTCATCTGTGCCTGACATTCATGGTGTTCTGGGATATGTAGTCCGCACGGCTTCAGCTCCCGGCTTCCCTCCTCCCGGTGGGAAGGCGTATAGTCGCAGTGCCTGCTGGAAGCTGTAGTTCCCTAGGGTCTCAGACCCTCAGCTCTGCGCTTTCCCTCTAGGGAACCTGAAACTACAACTCCCAGGGATGCCCGGCGGCAGCAGGTGGGAGCGGGGCTGTTGCTATCAATATGGCGGTTGTCAGCCAGACAAAGACAGTCAGTCTGATGTGATTGAGACAAGGGAGGTTTTCAGGGGGAGACTGGGAGATAGGAGCCTCCCCTCCCCCATCTGCTCTTCCTGTGCAGGCCTGGAGCCCTCCTCAGCCCCTCCCGCAGGGCGCCCCGCGGTGAAGATCCCCTCCCCCTTCCGCCTTCCTTCCTCCCTCCCTCAGCCTGGCGCTGGGACGCTGGGGAGGGGGCTGAGCCGGGTGCAGAGAACTCCCAGCTGGGTTTCCGAGGTGAGTGGGGTCGTTTGCAAGCCGGACTACCTCAAGTCACTTTCCTCACTTCTCTCATTACTTTCATGGGGTAAAAAAAAAAAAAAAAAATGTTTTGGACGGGCTTAGGGGGTAGAGAAAGTGAGTAGGCGCCACAGATGGGACTCTGGAGTGGTCAGGTTGAGCGCGGGGGGGGGGGGGGGGGGGGGGGGGGGGCTCCGGGGGGGCGGCGGTGTGCGGGCTGTGGGGTGGGGCAGTTTGCGAGGGGCGGGCGTGGAGAGGCGCCGACGGCTCCGTAACTTCTCTGGGCTCCACGGCCGGCGGAAGGTTTGAATTCTGGAGGTGGGGTCTTTCTGCTTCGGAGTTAGGAGAAACTGAGGTGGTTTCGAGGTGTGCTGGTTTGCTTGGGGCGGGGGGGGGGGGGACGCCTCGCCGTGTTTTAAACTGTGACGTGGACTTGGGTCCTGGGCTCGTCTGGAAGGAATGTCTGTAGATGGTAAGTTAGCTAGCTGGAGTCGGAGATGAGCGGCCTGGGCTTGGGTAGCCTGCGTGAGTCCCGGGCAGGACTTTTTTTGGTCTGTGGACCTTGTGCAGGGGTTCTAGGGGCTCAGCAGCCCGGTCGTGTCTGGCGGCCAGCTCACACTCCGTGCCCTCCTCTGGGTCAGTCTCCACCCCAAACTCCCGGCAGGAGGACCGTACAGATGGTGTGATGTAAAGATGCATCTTCGCCTCCTCGAGTCGGCAGCTCAAGGTGGGAAAGGAAAAGTGTCTCTTACTATTTTATCCCGGAACCGTGTTTTGGTTACACTGGAGGGGCTACTTTGAAAGGAGTCCTCCGCCCACCTTCACCCCCGAAACAGTGAGCAGAGGTGTCTTGTCATCTTCGTGCACCGCGCCTGGCCAGTTAGTTAAAATTCGGGGAAGTGGGGTTGGGAGTCTCGGTGCTGAACGCCATCCGCATCTGTGTCTGCTAATGAGATCGAATGTCTGCTGTGTGCCCTGAGGTAGACAGGGCGACTTCATTTTCGGAGTTGAAAAAAACTGTTGGAAATTATTTGAGGGGAAGAGGGTTGTCGGTGCGCTGAAAGGCGCTACGTTGTGTGTGTGTGTGTGTGTGTGTGTGTGTGTGTTCTTCTTCTACCCCACCCTGTTCTGTCTCACATTTGCTTGAAAACTGGTATGGAAGAGTGAGGAAGCTTGGGGTGAGGAATGCACTCAATCGTAAAGATACCCGCTACGTAAAGTTGAATGATAAAAGTGATTGCTATTTTTATTTTTGTCTGAAGCTTAAAAAAAAAGAAAGAAAGAAAAACATCGTGTGTTATATAGGGTGTAGTCACGCGCTCCTTTTTCTGGGGACCTGCAGATAATAGAAATCTTTGCCTTCTCTTTTGCTATCTTTCCTTCGCTTCCTCCCTCCCCCACCCCCTTCCTTCCTTCCTTTGCACAGAACATTTCTCTTCCCCCTGGGCATAATACCCCCCTTTTTTTTTTTTTTTTTTTTTTTTTTTGCTTAGTTTGTGCTAATGTGGACTGTGCTGTTTGTGGTTTCACTATAAAATGCATCGTTAAGTGAAAAGGACCCGAATTTGTTGTTATTTTGCATTTATGCCACAAGTAATTATCAGGTCAGGTTTGCAGTGCTTTGCATTAAACTTATTAAAATTGCACGGCTAAGTTGCTAGATCTGGTTGAATTATGCTTAGAAGTCAAATTTGGGAAATTTGATTTTATTTTTCAATTTTCAATTAGGGTTGGGATGAAACATCTCCTGTTTCTCACAGTCTTGAATATTTAATGACATTACACCAGGAGAATTTCAGATCATACATTTTCTACTCCCTCAGTCCAAAATACAACTTCTTCCATCACTCTCTGATCATTTTGTGGTATCATAGATTTTTAAATAACTAAAGGAATAATCATTTACATTTCAGCTAGAGTTTGATGTATTTACACGTTTGGTCAAGGATGTATTAGTTCTTGAATGTTTCATCCAGCCGGGGGCTTTTCGATTTCATAGCATCTGAGAGTCACAGAGGTATACTGGGGTTTTATGTTAAGTTTAGTCTTTGATTTGAAATTTCTGCTCTTGATCATTCCCACAGATAAGAGGATTGTTTTCATGAGGATTGTTTTCATGAAGTTGAGCACTCTGTATTTAAATTGACCTGAATAGAATTTTGTATACAGGATGTGCTGTTCCAAACTGAGCCTTTGATTTGTTGAAGAACAGAATTTTCAGAATTACTTGTTTGAAGCTTTATCTTAACCCGAAACATTAATTTTCAAAAACTGTAAGAAAATTTCATTTAACAATGTGATAGTTGTTTACTTGTGTTTTTCTTAAATTTATTCTAGTTATGGAATTTTTAGATGCTTAGTAATCTTTTTAGATATGACATACTAAAATGTTCCAACCTAGAAAAATGAGCATTTTTTTTTCCCTCTATCCTTTCCTTGAATCACTTTTTGTTTATTTTCATCAATGGAAATGTGATGTTATTTATGGGAAAAGCATCTGTTATAAACTTTCTCTGACTAGTATTCTGGTAAAAATGGCTCCATGTACACCAAATATTCCTTGCATTCTTTGGGCTGATTTTGTTGCATTTTGAGCACTGGGGCATTAAAATGATGTAAAGCCCTTGCTGCAGGCTAACGCATAAAACATCCTCAGCATGTGGAAGTCATACGGTTTATGAAAAAAGTGGAGAACTAAGGCATTGGTGCCTATCCAGCTTAAAATTTCATCCCGTAACTGTAAAAACATTTATTTTAATCTGATCATTTCTTTAAAAAAAAAAATATGACCTTTATTTTACTGGAAGTTGAAAATGCAAGCTGTTTTTAGCAACCTGCTGCTAGTTCTGTGCACAGCATATATGCAAATGTGTTTAGCTACAAAAGTGCATCAAGGAAAGGAACCTTTAGTAATGTGTTGAATGCCCTTCCAGAGGCCTCATTTGCACAACAGGGTGTATTTTGTCTTTTAGCCCAAGTAGAAACTTAATATCTCTTTTAAGTTATTACACACATTGTAACAAAGATCTCTTTCTTTCTTGCAATTTTATACCAAGTGTTGATGGCTTTTCTTTCTTGCTTTATTGTATATTGTATATTAATTTGTTGTTTTTAAGTTTCTTTTTCTTTTGTGTCATGTTAGTTCTATCTCTAGTTTCAAAGTTCAGTTGGATACCTTTTTCTACCAAAAGCAGGTTTACTTTTGGGCTCATCTATTGAAGCTTTTCTATTGTTTTTGTATTCTGTTCTTTAAACTTGGCTTATTTCTTTTGGAAATTGTAAATTTATTATAGAATGTTGTTTTTCATAAATAAGTGTTACTAAAATGGTGAACACTTATAGATTAGTGTTAAAAGCACCCAGTAAAAATGTGTTTGAGTTTGTTCATTCGTTCCTGCTCTATGTAGCTATTTTGGCTTCCAGAATCTTACTATTCTGTTCTTTGGCTAGATTTTTACTAGTTTTTCTTCTTTCAATTTTGTACAACTTTATACAAGACTTTTGTGAATAAAAAGTATAGCATATCTAGAATGTTATATATGCATATTCATGTATGTAATCAAATATATATGAGGCGTGTGTGTATCAGACTTACAGCGATAAAATCAACCTGACCCACACGTAGCAGAGACCACCACCATTCATGCTGTTCACATTACAGAAACGTAAGAGTAACCACCATTCATGCTGTCCACATTACAGAAACGTTGGAGGCTTCCTTATCATTATAAACCATCATTTTAACAGAGTCTGCCAAACTACAGTTCTCTCAAATGGAAGCCTATCGGTCTGACATTTTTCCCCAGCTAGTACTAAATAATTAGTGTGTGACTCAGATTTCTAGACACAGCTGTGCCCAAGATGGCCTTCACTTAGACTGAGGACCCATCCATCATCAGTGCTCGAGTAAAGACTCTCTGGTGAGCACAGATGTAAAACTTTTAGGTGTTAGTTAATCACTGTTTATGGACTCTTATGATTCAGAAACGACATTGTGGCTTTGTTAAAATCCATTCGTAAACAAAGGAAAAAAATTGCAATTTAAATGATTTCTAAAACAATGGTTTAGCTTTGTTGTGCTGGGCTTATTTATTTACTTATGACTCTTAAGACAGGTGCACCTGACTCTTCTTGAGTGATGAAATGATTCTAGTTCATTCTGAGGCCATTTAGATTTTCATTAGGTTGTATGAGTAAAATATTTACTGGAAATATGTCCTGAGTAGGTTTTTTTTGTTTTTGTTGTTGTTGTTTGTTTGTTTTTGCACTGTGACACAGGTTGGGGTCAAATGGAAAAAGGAAACTCAGTTGTGAAAATAACTCAATCAGACTTGCCTGTTGGAAAGTCTGTGGGGCCTTTTCTCAGTTGCTAATTGGTAAGAGGAGGGTTCAGTTTACTGTGGGCAAAGCCACCCCTGGGCAGGTGGTCCTCTGAACTATAAGAAAGCGTGCTGAGCAAGCCTTGAGGAGCAAGCCAGTAATCAGGTCCCTTTGTGGTCTCCACTTTTTTTTTCCGCCTGCAGCCAAATTCCTGTCCTGCTTGAGTTCCTGTCTTGACTGTTATGTGGAAGTATAAGCCAAATAAACCCTTTCCTCCCCAAGTTCCTTTCAGTCGTGGTGTCTTTATCACAGCAATCAAAAGTAAAGTAAAGTAATAGTAGTTCTGTCCATCTTTTGTCCAGGGGCCCATAGATGATGTATTAGAACCATTAGTAACATTCATGTTTAAGTATGGAGGTGAAGGGAAAAATGACTTCAGTGAGTGCAGTTATGTTCTTTTTGCGTTTATTTATTTATTATGTGTGAATAAACACACTTGGCATGGTGCACACATGGATTTTAGAAAACAACTTGCAGGAGTTGGCTCTCTCACTCCACCATGTTCTGGGGATTGAACTCAGGTCTTTGGGCTTAATAGCAGATGTCTTTACTTCCTGAGCTACCTGCCTGCCCAGGATTTAGTTTTTATACAGAGAAAAGTCAAATGTGGGTTCTGC